TTGGCTCAGCCAAAGAGTTGGTAAGTCGGCCTTTGATACTTGTTTTATTTCAAGCATAATGGATTTCTAAGTTAACAGAGGTAATCCGATAAAGGTGAAATTGCAGACAGTTTCTCGAATGTTATCGGTTTAAACAGCATGACATAGTTTATAGGTTTAACATCATCGTGTTAGAAAGTTCTTTGTTAGGGGTTGTATATATTACATATCAGAATTAAAATTCCACGTACGGCTATGTGAAAACTTAAAGACGGTCACTGTGGTTTAAAGTGGCGGGAATAGTGTGAGCGAGCTCTATCTACACGTGCTATTAAAGACAGAAGGCTATTTATCATCTTAGGTATCAATAATAACAAATCTTACTTGCTCTACGTCTTTTGGATGGTTGCCAGTATTGAAACCTTCGAAATTTTATATCATCGATAAGTAACTATATATATGTATACAACATTTAAACACAAATACGAACACACACACACAGAAATTGAGCCAAAGTATTTTTAATAAATAGTTATTGAATGTTGCCTTTACAGATAATTTACTTACTGTTCTAGTCGATTTAGAAGCCTATCGCCTCTGTACATTTAAACAACTTCCTCCTGAACTTGTGACTTTGAAGATGACTTTGAGATTTAATCATTAGTTGTGTGAGAGCAAAGACTTATAAACGTAATCCAGAGTTCATTAAGCACGTTCGACTGTAAAATACCCTATATAACATTAAATTGCTAAAAAGCAACCATAATTTCAAACTTATTTTTGTTCTTATTACAATGATCTTTTTTAATATGAAATTATGTATTTCTCACAGTTTTGTTTTATTTTAATGGCCAACATCAATATCGCTTTCTCTCTCTTTTTTTTCTTTTTTTTTGCTCATAAATTTTCCAACGTTCTCAACAGAAAAAGTTAAAAGTCACTAAAGAATGTTGATTCAAGGTATATGGCTAATCTATAAAAGCTGTCATCTTCTGTTTTATGCAGAAATAATCTTTTAAAGAATATACTCAGAAGCTAATGTAAGTTGTGTATTTTTTTTCTAAGCTTCATGTTTGAAATTCAAACAGCAGGGTGGGCCAGTGTTATCTCTAGCTTTTTATATTAACGTAATGTATATTAACGCTCATAATTAAACCTGTGAATTTGTAATAACTGTAGTAGTTTGAAGATTTCAAAACGTTATATGATGTAGCACAATGGTCCCCAATAGGCGACTTGCAGGCCACATCAAGCCCTCGAAAACCTGGTTCATGTGATCAGATTTTGCAAAACTTTACTTAAGGAATAATTTATTCCCTAACGAGATCAAGTTCGGGCCTTGGCTTTACGGTGATCATATAAGGTAGTCTAGTGTGGAAAATAAATGATAAAGCGTATGTGTCAATAATACCGTAAAATCTAATTTGTAAATGAGTGAAATATAGTTTATAATAACTACAAGTCACTTGTTTAATATGGTTTAAACCATAACAGCCGTTGTTCATAAAAACTGATATATATATATAACCACTGCTATGTTTGTCATCTCCCATCCGCCAGTTCTTGTGAATGATAGTTTAAAAAAAATAATCGGAGAAATTTTCTTACTAAGGCGAAAAATACATATAATGGGGAATAATTCAATCACTAGTAGATATATTGCAAGTACGTGTATACAGAAACGTCGCTAAGTGCTTTAAAGATTCAGGGCTCGGGCCCTTAGACGCAGGAATTTTCGGCGTTTCAGTATGATATCGATCATGGTTTTCTATTCTGATTTTTCGAGACACCAGCTGTGGATTCGGGGCACTGTCAAGTAGAATCGGGGCACGCCGCTGCGTGTATATGACCTCTTTGACAAAATAAATGTGACGTTTGGTCACATTCATTTCAACACGTCCAACTAAATAATTTTGAATTTAAAGAATGTTAAATTCATTTGAGGTACATGTTCAATAGAGTCCAGTGTAGGATATATACAAATAAAAACTGTTTGTTTAATTTTATTTGGTGAAAAAAAATTATGAAGAAACACTGACGCTGAAAACCATTGAACAAAATCGAAACCTCTGTATATGATTGGAACCACGCATGCGCAGCACCCCAGTACGTTAATCCAGGGGATGCTGCTATGCCCTCAGCACCCCTAGTTCCCGCGCCCTTGAAAAGAAAAAAGTAATAAGTTAAAGATCACGTTACCAACAATAAATCTTTGTGCTTCCACGTTTTGATAAGAATGAATTATCTGTAGATACTAGAGCCTGTTTCTCTTGTACTTGTCTCTTTTTTTTTAGGGTGTGTGTGTACGTGAAAAAGTCGACAGACGTGCATAGGGGGGATTTTTTGAAAGGATATTTCTGTAGCCCCTTTCTCTGAGTTACGTGATACCCCTTTATGATATAATCATGATAATAATATCCTTACGAATAAAATAACTTTAACCTAAGGTTTTCAATATAATCAGGAACTTTAACTTTTTTTAATAAATATTTTTTTGAGTATTGGCTTTTGGAATCATATACTAAAGGGAAGGCACCTAGTCAGCAGCTCCCAACGCTAACACTTAGGCTTCACTAATCGAATGATTTGATTTGACTGCCACTCTAATAACGCATCTACGACCCCAAGGTGCGGCAATTGAACGAAACCATGGACTTTAATGTGGATTTTCAGTGACTGAAGACCTAGAATGGTTTGACAGGTCAACCTGCAGCTGTTATAGCGAACAAACTGTCCATTTTCTCAAGTGGTAACTTCATGTTGTAAAACAGAAGCGAGCTGTTTTGAAATACTTACAAAGGGTAAAAATAATTTGTATGTTTTCTTTATGTATAGTTTTTACACACTCAGTTAGCAACTTGTCTTTCTTAACAAATATACAAAACGTCACTGGTGTGTTCAGACAATTAAACAACATTTAAACAGTACTGATTTAACACATTGCAGGCAACAGTCTGAGAGTAAAAACAAAATGACGACTAAGAAATAAAGTTGTAATTAGGTAATAATCTGGAATATAATATAGATATCGTACAAAAGTTCTACACCGCATGAGTGAGTGCAACATAAAACTGAAAAAAGAAACGAAAAGTCTTAATTACATTCAGAGCAGGCAACAGCATTAGTAGAATTATACAAAGTGAAGAAGACATAAATTAATGCATTAAATCGTTGTATTTTAACCACTTCACCAGCTGGGATGTCTTGAAAACTATTTTCAAATACTGTTGGCTTTACCTTCGATTGAACGAACCTATCGGGCCTTTGTTTTCGTTTCTGTATTTGCTTACGTATCCATGAGTATGTGACCGAAATACTTTGACCAGCGCTGGGTGTATTTTGATGTCAGTTGGCACGAGTACTAAAATATTTACTACATTTGATATGATTCCGATATAGTAGTTATTATTATTATTATTTAATTGTTAGTTTCTTTTATGCACAAAAACGTGAGTTTCAATGAAAAAAAGATGTACAGGTCTCCTACTCAATGCTTTGATTCACGTTTTTTATCAAGAAAATAAATTAACAAATAAGTAAATAACCAATTAGTCCGCTGAATAACAATGGGTAATTAATTGTGACGATATATTACGTTATACAAACACTTAAATAATTTTAGGTTATTAGCGGTGAGTAAAGGACTATGTATCTATACTAAGTTGTTATTATTTTGTTATATTAAGGACTTAATGGGTTTCTTTGACATTAGAAATTATACCGTTGGAATCAACGTTTAATTCTATCTCATTTCTTAGAGTAATATTTATGCATGAGCAAAGTCTGCCTCGTAAACAAATCCATTCAAATTAAAGTGGTATCTATGAACGGAGTTGTGTCAGGTTTCGCAAAGGACTGACCTAATCGCAAAGAGCGTTGCCTGTTACATTTTGTTTGGAGAAAACATTTCTCGTCGAATAAAAATTTGACTTCTTTTTTTTTTTAAACGGTTTTTCTATACCTCTAATAATATTGTTCTACAGAAAGTTTTGCATATTATAGACACAGAAACAGGCACACACTTAAATAACTGTGTGTGTGTGTGTATATATACACATACATACTAGTGTGTGTGTTTTGTTTTCCATCGCGACGAAGCGGGATAAACACTATTAAAAACACCGATCAAAGGAAAATGTTTAATTAGCTTAGTGTATTATTCTTCTCGGGGTTTAACCTTGGTACAAGCTAATAAGTCTCCAAAACTTTAACGCCAGTAGAAGGTGACTTCTTTTGTTGCTTTTACCGTTATCCCTTTATAGGTGTTTTTGTGAGACTTATATTCTGATATTCTATTCTGAATTAAAGTACAATATCTGAATGAAGTTCATGTGGTATATTTATACTCTAGGTTAAGAGACTTCCTGTTTGGGAATCTTATACTTTGTTTATGTGATACAAGCTGAATGCAGTAGTGGGAACACAAGCTTCCCCCCAGTTGGTATAGTATTACAGAAACAATGTTTACTATTGTGTCCCTGTTTAATGAAAACGTAAACTAAGTGCTTATGCCTGGCAAAAAACATATTTGGGAGAATAGATTACAGTGTAAACATAATAAAAACTTAAGTGCTTCTATTTTTGAAGCTTAATATATGAAATTACGTTCAATTAACATAGATTCAAAGAATTGTGTTTAATGCAATCTCCTTTAAAAATGGAAGTTTTAAGAACGAACTTTCCACAGTGGTTCTCGAATGTCCAGCTCGTTTTATGTGTGTGTGTGTGTGTGTGTGTGTATGTACATATTTTTAGAGCGATACTTTTTATAGTAAACGTGCTTTCAATTATGCCTTAATAGTTTGATATTAATAGAAAATTAGTGTGTATAAAATGTTCATGAAATTATACATTTCAGCTAGTTCATAAATTCTGGAATAATAAAATTAACCTTAGAAGTAAAATATCTTGAAGAATAAGTCTCACCAGTGGATGCATCTTTCCAACAAATGGGCCTCGAAAGAGAACTGATTACACCACATAAATGTACTTAGATAATTTTATTTTTCGCTACCCTGCAGGAACGACAGTAGACATCAGTTCTTCATTGCTAAACATGTACGACTGCCTGGTGGGAAAGAGTAATGACTGGGACGGTGGAGATGAGAACGAGGAAGATGGTTCCAAAGATGTCAACACAGATGCCTGCCAGCCGCCTAGATTTGATCATCACAACCCATGCAGTAGTCCTAGAACTCGGTTTCCTTTTCAGAAGAGTCTGTCTGTGAATGACACTTGTACTAAACGTCCTCTCAGCACAAGCTCGGTGTCTTCCTCTTCATCTTCTTCGTCTTCGTCGCTTCCTAGAAGTGGCATCGATGTTAAAAGGTCATACTTGGCCAGCATTGAAAGTTTAGCTGATATTTCTCCAGATAAAGACAATAATTGTTCTCATGATCAGAGCTCTCACTACAATCAAAATAACGGACAAATGGCAGCAAACCCCGAAAGTTGTGGACAGCAGGCAGTAGACTTGAAAAGTAGTGGACAAGGGTCAGCAGATCTAGTAAGTAGTGGACAAGAAGACGTGACACGTAGAGCCAGTCATGGAATAATGGTTTCATGTCGTCAACAGACTTCTGATCTCAACCTTTGTCCAACTGACCGTGTCATCATGGAAATTGTGGATACTGAGAGGACATATGTAAATGATTTACAAGAAATAATTGAGGTAAGCAACAATATATAGTAAATGTTTTAAAATATATTTTGTATGTTTCTCAGTTTTTAGCATTGTTTGAGAAAGAAACTAAAACCTTACACTTTGATACAAAGTCTAACCGATACAATAGTAATGTATCCTTTCAACTATAGGTGGACTTTTTCCTTCAAATTAAATAAATATTTACATAAAACTAGCCACACAAGCATTTTATTTCATTACATAGTGGAATTATTATGGTTCACAAATAAATCAATTTTGAATTAAAATGACTACTAACAGGATTTTTTTCTCTAACTGACTATACTTTTAACACTATTTTTGTCGAAGAAGGCACACTCCAGCCTAAAGAATCCTAAGCCAAACATTAATTTTTAGTCAAAAACAAGTTTTGGATTTGAAGGGGAATTGAATACACGTGTGATGTCTGACAACAAATTACTACTGCGACTGCTCTTTATGTTTTTATAGGCATGCAAATATATTTTTAGTTCACGCTTCTTCACCTATCATTATTTATTTGTTAATTTTAGCGCATAGCTACACAATGGGCTATCTACGCTCTGTCCATTGCGGAGAATCGAACCCAGAATTTTAGCGTTATAAGTGCGTAAACTTATCGCTTACCTACCACGAGACTCTCTCATCATATAAATATATATAAATAATCCAAAAAAGGATCCTGATAGGAACCATTATCAGGGCACATGTTTTGGTAACGTTTGGCTCAGTGCCCAATAGAAATGTTAATACTTAATGTTGTTTTATACTTAAGCATAAAGCTGCACAAAGGGTATCGAAACCCGGTTTCTAGCGTTGTAAGTCCGAAGACATACAGCTGTGCCATTGGGGGGGGGGGAGTAAAACTTTATACATACATATATATCTATATATGTATTTGTTTGTGTTGTCACATGCCAGGGGTATGCCAGTGACAATGGTTGATGTTATACAGATGTATGTTATATATACACATATATAAAAACTAATCTCATGTAATCGGCTTCACATCACGTCAAAGCTAACTTTCACATTAACAACACGCTTTTGTGCCCGCAGCTTAATTTAGTTTTTTTTATATTTCTTTGAGAAATGTGAAACCCTATTTTTCCTGACGTCATCCAGACTCCGTCATATGGTCTACATTTACTTAGAATATGGTGGCAACACACTATTGTCAGTGCCACAGAGGATCTAAGTAAGAGGTTATTATATCCTTAATTACTCACCGGCTTCCGCTGTCTCTGTACAAGAGAAATCATTCTCCATGTCGTCATTCTAATTTGATAGTGTTGTCGGACCTACCGTGATCTTTCAGACATTATAAAAACTCGTAAACGTATAACCGGATCATTTGTTTCCTTATTTCACCACGATTTTATGTTTTTCTTTATTATGCATGACTTATCAGCGTTACTCGTCATCAGTCGTGGTTTGGGGTTATGAGCATCGTTGGAATCGCCATCATTCACTGTGGAGAAAATATGTCAAAAAATTGATCGATCCATTCCGATAAATTCTGAGAGAAACATAAAATATTATCTTCCGACGAACTTATTAATTTTATTATTAAATGACCTTGAAAAGTAATAAATGTAGGTGGTAAAAAGACAGAGGGTTTCTGATTTCGGAGACTTGAACATTATTATCTCAGGTTATAAAATATTGTGTTCATTACATGCTCGTATAGTTCTGTGTATTGTAGACTATAAACACTTAGTTGCAGTGTTTGATAACTTCGTTGAGTATTTTTTTTCATTTATTTAATTTACTTTTCCTGGAGGGGGAGGGGGCTGAGAATAGAAACTACTTGAGAAGGAAACATCTGACAACGTGCATTGAACCCGACTTCAAAATCTGTGTATACGTTTGTGGTTCCAACATTTCACACTTGTACCACAAAAATAATCATTGGAACGTATACACATGATGATTGCTATGCCATGCAAGTCCAGTTGTATAGACACAGCATTAAAGACTATGGTAGATTGTTCTTGTCTTTGTAATGCAAGCTTGTTAAATTTAAGCAAGTTTAAATCTTAAACAAATATACAAAATGTTGGCAAAACTCCGTTTAATGCTGTAATCACTCTAAAGAGTATCCAAAGTAACGCTTTAAATCGCATATCTTCAGTCATCTGTTTATAAACTACATTTCTAAAACACTTTTTAGAAGTTCAATTTGTCATTTGTTACATCACATCCGTAAAAACTTCATTAATAACAAAAATATCGTAATTTCAGCAGTATAGTTCCTATTACTAAAAGGAATAAGGGTAAACTTTAAGTTTTTATGTATGAAACACTTAGTGATTAGTATGCTCAGACTAAATCCGAAGATTCGTGCTTCGCAACGCATTGCATCATAAGAGTGACGGTAATCTCACTATTCAAACAGACGCGAGTAGCCCAACAATTAGCTATGGGTGCTGTTGACTAGTTACCTTTCATCTAGTTTACCAGTTTAAATTGAAGAACGGCTATGCGCAGCTTACCCTTTTAGCTTTCTTCGAACATTCCAAACAACATTTATTTTTCAGTTGACGATTACCATTAGGTTTCGCATGTTAAATGTTGCTCTACTTATTCACGTTCGATTATATCGTTGAAAAACATGTTCTTTTAAAATTTGTTTAGACGTAATGAAATCAAATTAATCAGCCACACTCGTTACTTGTTCTCAGCTCATGCAGTTCCTCCTTTATTTAGCTTTTTGTACTTGCTTTTTTATATACGTTTACACATGAAAATGAAATATCAGAATTAAACGAGTGAAGTGTTTCTCTTTAAATGTATAACGATTTATTAATCACTTCAGTTCTAAACCAAACACTTAGACAAATAGACATATGAATCCGAAACACAGGTGTTCAATTTCTAACTGCTACAAATGCCAGTTTTGAATAACAAATACAACTAGTATGAATTCTGTGGCGACATATTCGCTGTTACAAACGGCCAACGTTAATATAGTTCATTCTTATTTGTGGATATTCATTGCTATAGCATTAGTTGTAAGAACCGGTATAATAATTTATGACAACATTTCAGATATCCAATTACAGTTACAATATATCCAGATCTTTACTGTGTAAATTGACAGATTTTTATGTCACATCCATTTCCGAAAACGTAATTCTGGAAAGGAAGCGGTCAAAACCACAGCGGCTAACTTATGCCAGTAGAGGCAGAGACGAAAAAATGAGCTTTACTCGTATATAATATTTTTAGCGTGTGTGTATATTAGTATTAAAAAAATGAAATTATAGTTTAAACAAATAAGTTTGCCATTGCTAGGTGTATATAATATTTGATTTACAAAAATTTTCTATGTGTATATCTGTGGATGAAAAACTTAATAAGATCCAACGTAACTTCCGCCCTTCAAATATCTAGCACAACTAAATGGCGCCAACTTTACAATATATGGCGTTAACCTGGGTGCCGGTGACTGATGTGAGGCATGCTACTGTTACTTCATTCATTGGCCCAATGACTGTTTCCTGTCGGGGCGTCAAGTTGATGTCTGGAGTGCATCACGTTTTTGCCAGGACTTTTTCGTTTATGTTTATTGTACGTAAATCTACTATACTTGATAAGCTAACAGAAAAAATAAATACAATAATTAATTTTTCCTGGCAGTTTTTTTTTATGTGTCTGAAGAACATGACAGCGCACACTAGAGCTTTATTCTTTTTTCATGGTTTCCTGAAAGCATCACACTGCAATTTAGAAATCGGATTTTGTTTTGTTCAAGTTGCGCCCTTTCCAATTACAAATTTAGATTTCGACAAAGTTTTATTTTGTCAACTTTGGTATAAGAAAATAGCAAATTCTATTACAATTTATGTATTGAAGGAAAAAAAATGAAGCAATGAAATTTAGATAATGTCACGTAACAAGAGTATATACGTTTGTTACTTGGATAATTAACCTCTCCCTACAAGTAATTTATCTGAAAATACTGAAATATAATTGAATGATATGAAAGCATAGGGTTTTAATTTCTGCCCAATTTAAAGGGATAGCATTTTAGTAACTCAGATTACTCCACGGCTTGGGTCATGATGAGTCTAAAGATCAGAATGTTAAAGATTAGAATGTATATCAAAGACCTCTTTGAAATTTTGGGAGAATATAATAATAAAAAATACATTTTGCGTTATTATGTTTTTTATTTATACATAAAAAAAAAACATCCTGGAAAGTGCATGCCACTCTTGATATGCCGTCAGTGCTTTGGGCAACACTTTTTTTTTGTCAATTGCAGTGGCTTCATATGTTTATAACTGTTCTTATATGCGCTGTCCAAACCTTATCTAAAGATTTTAAGTTCTTACAGATAAAAGGAACATTAACATTCGTCTTAGAGCTAGTTTAATTATAAAAAATAAATATATAACTTTTTTGAGACCCATCGACTTATAAATAGCATAACATTTTTTTAGGTACTTGCCTAAAGAAATTTTAACACAACATAATGGTTTGGAACAACATGGGACCTATTGGTACATCTCTCGCTGTTCCATGTTCTAAACTAAACTAAAACTATTAATAAATGAATGTAAAAAATCATAAAGCCACTCCTTATCTTATTTTAAGAAGAAGAATTTAAGTTCAGAGTATGTTATATATCTTCTAAGCCTAATTCCATTGTAACACGGTCTTTACTGCCTGATGAATGGTGTCTGCTCGAAACATCACACAAAATAAACAAGGAAGAGTTTTCATTTAGACATATCAATTTATTCATCCAAGTTTTTCTTCTCGTATCTTGTGGAACAACACTCATTCAAGTATCTGTACTCTGCCCTACATGGGTATTGAAATCCAATTTTTAGCATGGTAAACCTGCAGACTTACTGCTGAGCCACTGGTGGGCCTTTACAGATAACTTTAAATGGATTTTTTCATCATAGTCTTTTTTTTCAGGATACTTGTTTTGAAAACAGATTTGCTATTCAGCATGCAAATATGAAAATTATAAAACTGAAATTTCCAGTTTTTATAAAGCTGTTTCTTTTCTGGAATAGTTGGTTGTAATTAATTTACACAGAAACATAACAGTGAAGCAAACACAATTTATTTTTATAGCTAAGTAATAAGTATGGTAAAAATGAACCACAGGTATACTCTACCTGCATGCACATGAGTACTGGCATTTGTGTTGAGAATTTCACTATCTGAACTGAAAAATAAATAACTTGAAAGGAGCAAAGTATCTTAAACATATTAAAGGTTTTTTTTTTTACATTATTCACATTGAGTACTAGATTGAAAAAGCTCACAAAAAACACAGTTGTTTTTGGATTGTTATGTTTTATGTATAATTCATTGTATTTTTTGTTAGTTTAAGTGAATAAATGTTTCAATGAGGTGTGATCATTACAGGGATATTTTCAATACCTATCAACAGAAGATAATAAAATAAGCAAATTCACTTTAAGAGAACTCTCTGGAAATATTGAAGACATATACAAGTTTAATAGGTGAGTCAACTAATTTTGTATCCTGGACACTTTTCTGCCTATCCTAACCTTGTAAATCAGATTTAGAAGTGATATAAAAATTTTATGTTAATTGATAAATAAGATTATACTTCTAATATTTGGTTCAACAAAAAATAATTTATCTATAACAACTGCTAAATTATTAATGTCTGTTAACCTAAATAATGTGGTCCTAAACAACCAAATGGCCAAACTGTGGGTTTTGGATTATCTAAACCTGCCTAAAAATGTTTAACTAATAGAGCATTTCTTTCTACAATTTGAGTGTCTTGGCCAGAATCTTGTGGTTTATGATAATTCTTAACAGTATAAACTCAAAGAACCAATCACAATGCAGAAACATCAAACTTTTTTTCTTGCAAGATTAATAAAAGCAGCTCGATTTACATGTTGACCCTTTATCCATGCTAGAATCTATGGCACACTTTATAAGCTGTTTCAGTGAAATTAAGTTTCAGAGGTGTGGATACAACAAGATGTTTCCAAGTCACGTTTAAAGAGGTCTGTGACAAGAATTTTAAGTAGATTAAGTAGCACAGAAAGTGACCAATAAGTGTTTTTCTTGATATATGCCTAAGGGCAACAGTTGGAGAGCTGTTGTATACCTACCTGTGTTTGGCAGTAATGACATGTCGTTTTTTTTGTTAAATATAAACTAAGTTAAAAAAATACATACAATTTTGATGTTATGTTACAATGTGTATTTTATTGTACACATTTCATTGACATAGCAATATTGATATTAATTTGTATTATAAGTGTACATTCTGACGATGGTCACTTCGAAAATTAAAAGTAATGTTCTAACTTGCAAAAAAGTAAACATTTCACACAAAGTACTTTGTAAATGACTCACAAAAGTGGACATGGAAAATTATTTAACATCATAAAATGAAGTAGTTTGCTTGTTTGTGTTGGTGCTAGCTGACCTCAGCTGTGGGTGTGCATATGAGACAGTCTGCTAAGCGGAAATGAATGAAAAATAAAGAGGTACTATTACAGTGTTGGATGTAAGAGCACTTGACAGTTTATAACTGTGAGAGATAAACAGCAGATCCAGATCAAATGGGGGAGGGTATTGAAAATTTACTGCTTGATAAGAGTTACCTGAATGAATGTGCTGCAGTAAAATCCATTGTTTAAACAAACCTTATTATGTCTTTTTATTTTATTCAAACTATTCTGTATTTAAAACAAAACAATAGTATTCACAGTTTTCATTCTTTTTCATTTTTATTTAAATATTGTGATGTTATCAGCAACTAGTATTTATGTTTGATTTATAATTTCAAGTTATCAGAAAATTTTGATATAAAGTCAATCAATATAAGTTTAATATCTTTTCTTTCTTAATAAATTGTTTTAAACTACAAGTTAAACATTTATCACAAAGTCATGGACACAAGCTTACTGAAGTGATTAAACTATTAAGAATTTATTGAACAACTATTCTCCAGTACTTGATTCTTACTTGTGTAATGGATATTAATTCCCAAAATGCTTACAACTGTAAGGGATCATTCCAAAATAGATCACATTATGCCTCAAATGAACAGTACCTTTCGCAATCTTGCACCCTTGGCTTTAATGGTATATAAGCTGTTGCTCTGCTATTGTGAAGTGATACAATGCTTTTGAATATACATGTCATAATGAACTTTTTATAGAAAATATTCTAAACATAGTTAGTGACTATTAAATAAAGTAAACATTAATTGTTATGTGAAAAGGTTGATTTTGGTGCATTTTCTCATTTTTAATATCTGTTATTGGCAAGAATATCTCATAAACAATAGCCACTATCTCTCTGGGACACAGTATTGTTATTTCAACTGTAGTTTGTTAATCATTATAGCTTTTGCACAGTTAATACTTAAAAAAATTTCCCAAGATTTTATATTTGCCTAATTTCTTCACAAGGCTTACAAATAATAGATGAACAAAATTAAGTTTACACACCTGTACTTTGTAGAAATGCAAAAGATTAGGCATCATTTAATATCTTAAAATATTGAATGATTAAATATGAAAACTAAATTTGAAAAACAACCATCAAAATACTTACAAGAAGGTTAGTGGTCTTCTAGGTTTTTGTTAATCATATTATCTGTCATTTTGTGTAAGACAAAGTTGCTAAAAATCTTGTAAGTTAACAGAGACAATTTATTTTTCACTGAACATTTCATTTCCACTTAAAAATATGATATTATGACTACCTGTGGTATTAAGAGTTTATTATGATTGGCTTTCCAAGTCTACTTTTTTGGAGAACTAAAATCCAACAGTTCATTTTTTAACCTTCTTACTAATTGCTTTTCTCTTATGTATTATTTCTAATGTTTCACAAATGTGTCTTCAAGGTTTGTTAAAACTTCTTTATCAGTTATTTACAACATTGCTTATGAACCTGTTACGAAAACAGTCATAAGGACCTGACTGAAAAAAAAAAAGCCTTTTTTTTGTCTCATTAAATTAAAAGTAATTTGGGTTAGTGAGGTCAAGCAACCACCTGACATAACCAATAATATCTGTTGACCAACTTCTAAATTTTTGGCTAAGCAGTCAATTATCCTACATGCGACACAAATGCTAACAATAATTTTTATCTGCTCTCTTCACCTACGTACCTATATCCACTGTAGCAAGGATTTAGGACACAAGCTAGGAAACTTTCCGAGTTCACAGCCATACAAGTACAGCATTAGAAATACATTAAAACTCATATCTGTATTATTGATATTTTAGATTGCAAATGGAGTTCTCAGTGTTATATAATAAATTGTCCATACCACAAGGCACTGATTTAGTTGCATCAACAAAATATACACAATATATAGAAAGACAAATGAAACCTTTGTTAACTATCTTTTTAGTTTGTATCCAGTTTTCTAATTTAAACAAAAATAGTTTTTAATGAAAAAAATTTAATGTACCTAATTTTTCATTAGATGATTTTCTTTCAAATTAAAATAGAAGACTGCTACATTTTCTTGATTGAATTTCATTTCTAATAATGTTTTAATTGAATTTTTAAAGTTATAATTTTAAGGCTATAAAAACTTCACCAACAAGATTATAAAGTGGATTTTCTTGTTACTAGATAAGAGAGCATTCCTTAAAAACTGGTTATTCAGAAGGGTCATATTTAGTAGTTTGACATAACTAGGTTAAAGCTGAGATAACAGTGTTAGTGAAATTTAGGTTGATTAATGTCTGGTTGCAGCAGAAAATATCATAAAATATTAAATAATAAATCACTTTGTAACTTTTAATTTACAGAGTGAAGCCTATAATTGTATTGAAACCTATACTTATTAAACTTAAGAATTTTACACAACTATCACTTATTTGGTTCACTCCTTTTTGTTATGTAATTTAAGAATTTTTTGTAATAAAGACAAAATCATAAATAAATTATTTCACAAGTAACTTATAATAGAAATGAGGCACTTTCATAAATAAATATAAAGTTGGTTTAGGTAAAAAAATCAAAACTTAAGAAAGAAATAAAAATAAATGTTATACTTTTCTATTTTTTCTCTATTCTCATGAACCACAAAATATCTGCATAAACTACATTTCTTTTTAAACTGAGTTTCTTACCAAATGATGTTATTGTGCTTTTATACTCAAAACATGTTTCACAAAATTAAAAGGTAGTTTTTACTAAGGAAAAGTTTAAAGGTATTTTTGCTAGACATAATTATAATTACAATTTTGGGAATCGGCAATTGGCCAATGAAGTGTCAAATACTTAGTAAAGGTTTTCATGACTTTTATACATTCAACAGTTCTATTGATTAAGCAATTTGAACATTTAAATGGACAATTAACCAGAATTATAAAGTTGTTTTTGCTACTTGGCTTTCTTTTGCATTAGATAAAAACCTGCTTTTCTCCTTACTTTCTACACCCTACCTAATACAAGAAATGTGCACTACTGTTCCCAGTGATTAATAATTGTATTTTCTGTTATGCTTCAGAGGACAAGTTATGGCATATTGGAGATATTAGATTTCAAACAAACATTTCTAGTAAAATTGATATAGTAGCAAGGATAAGTAAAATGAAGAGTATTTTGTATATTAACTTTTATATGTAAGATAACTCATAATTTTAATGAGTAGTAATGAACTTATCAGAAATTACAGTTGTATTAGTTTGGATGGACATTATATTTCTTGTTTTACCAAGCAGAAGTACTGTATCTCTGGGTCTATAAATATTCCCAGATCATGGTTTATTTATTGTAGCCACAATGTATGAACAGTAGTTTATTTAGATGTATATACACAGTAGACTGTTATTACTACTTGTGTTACTAGTTAAGAGAATTGAATAGTGTATGTTTAGATTTATCATTTTCTATGTACTATCGTATTGAACATAAAAACTGCTTCAGATTTGAGATAAATGTTTTCTTATGTATTATGTAGTTTAAATGTTAACCTCATGTTTCTATAAGATTAAATTAGTGTCAAAGTTCAAGCTTAACTTTGTAAAGACTTAACATTCTTTCACACCCTTATGAATAAATGTTGGTAAAAGTTTAAAACAAATGTAGTCATATTTTCATAAGATCTATAAATTACATTGACTCAATTTTGTGTCAAAGCTAAATTTATTCTGGTAAAAATGATGTTCTTGATTTTGTACTTGATATATGCAGTAAGTTATAGAAGTTGTAGTTATACACAGATTATATAGCTAAAAATATGTTTTATGTGCTATAAGGGGTAAATAACTTGTATATATGTATTTTTTATTTAGGAACTTTTTGAAAGTACTAGAGGATTGTGGCTTAGACCCAGCAGAAGTTTCCAGATGTTTTGTCAAAAACAGCACAGGGTTTGCTATCTATACTCAGTACTGCACAAATTATCCAAGGTGTGTATGTATATAACTGCTACTAACAACATGAAAATACATTTATGCTAGGGAACTTTCAAAATCTACTTTAATCAAAGAAGATCATTAATTTCTTAACTGCATACATTCTATGGTTATCAGTAGCTTAAAAGTTGCATTATTGAAACCAAACAGAGCAACTTGAAATTGAAAACATGCATCAGTTAATGATCATGATCAATAATAAAATGTAGAAAAACATTGATTTTCTTTGAGCTTTATATTATGAATGACTTTACTAAAATGTTAGATCTTTTCATATTATAATAATACTTTATTTAAACATACATAACAAAAAATGTAACATATATGAATATTTATAATTTTTATCTTATTAATAATTATATATTCATTTATGGAAAATATTCCTTGTAACTGTACCCAATAAAGTTTGGCTACATTTTAGCAATTAATTTCCAGGTGCAATAATTGTTCAATACATTATTTTAAATATATTGAAGCAGTTCTGAATATAAGAATCATTTAACATATTCTTAACATTGAGTTTCAGTTTCAAACCTCTTGCATAAGTGAAGCTTAAAATGTTTAATGTATAAAAAGTGCTTGATGTTAATAATTTCTGTGTGAGTTAAGTTTTCCTACTCTTAATTTATGTTTTTAAGTTCTATTTAGATACGTGAATTATATTTACCAGGTGAAAAATATAATACCATTTTAAGCTGAGGTAAAATTTAATAACCAAAACCATCATAAAAAAACAACAATTGAGATTTTCTTATGTCATGTTACAATACAAAATGTTGTAACTCATTTTATTAGGTTATGTTTTATTGGTCAACAACAACTGTTCTTGCAGTTATAGAGAATTACTGTACCATTTTTTAGAAGTGCTCAAAGGACAATATTTTTATCATTGATTATCTTTTCTATTATACTTAGTCTTCAGATCAACATACAGACCAGTACTTCAAATTATTTATCACAAACCTCTTTGTTTAATCAATCACTGTATCCATAGGTGCCCACAAGAAGGGGCAAGAGGGGGCATTTGCCTCCCTTACATTTCACAAAAAATTGCACCTTTTATGATGTAACTACTTAACATTGTAGTTACACTAAGTATTTTTAGTAATTTTTAATAAAACTGTGAACTTGCATTTAACCACACATAACACATTCTTTTAGTCTGTTGACTTGCGTCGTAAAAACTGATCCCCTACATATATATATTCTCCCCCCCCCCCATAAAAAAATTTATGAGCACCCATGACTGTGCCATTTTTTAGAAGTATCCAAAGGACAGTATTTTTGTCACTAATTATCTTTTCAACTATACTTAGTCATCAGGTTAGCATACAAACCCTTATTTGAAATTATTTATTTCGAACCTCTTTGTTTAATCAACATATAGAAAACATTACATTTTTATTTCATATTTACAATTTCCTTAAAAATATATTACTGAATATTAATATTAAGAAGTGAAGAGGATCTGCAATAAGAACTAATGAGAATTTGTTTTTATGTACTTATTGAAATGTTTTTTATACAGGTCAGTAGAAGTGTTAACAAAACTGATGCAAAACTCTGAAACAGCTGAAATTTTTCGGGTAAGTATATAATTTTATAGAACCTAAAGTTGTATAGCCAGGTACATAACTTTGGGTGGGTCTGGAGCTACAGTGGATGAGCAAAAAGTATACAAACACTTGGCGATCAATTAAAAGGACCTCAAAAAAGTGCTCAAAAACAAACTTCTGACATAGCTTTTAAAACAGATTGATTTATTACAGCTTAGAGCACTTTTTATACTACAGAACTGGTGCAAAAAAGTTTGAGTATAAATGTATGGGTGGTGGGTGAACCATTTACACCTTTCCCAGTTGGTATTGTTTCATAAAACACATTTATGAAAAAAAAAAAGACCATAGTTGTTGCTTATCACATGACATCATTAGGAATTGCAATTAAAAGCGTATGTTAGGTGTCAAAGCTCATTTATTCACTTATTCACTCACTGATAGATGGATTTTTTCGGTTAACCAATGTTAACACTTGAGCCAAAATTAATGTTCAACATTACATGATGCATATCATGCTGCTGTTTATCATGTGTTATCTCAACCGCATTCTGTTGTTGAAGTGGATAGGGGGCATATTGAACATTTTTTATGAGTTTCATTACAATACTCTATTCGTAAGATGACATAAAATTGTTAATGTGGTTCTTTTGTTTATAATGAAAGAAATAGCTTCAAAACTATCATCATAATAATTACATTTGTTGTTAATAGGCAATTAAAATCAGCATCATAAAACAATAATGAACTTAATATAAGATAAGCCTTAAAATGATTTTATATTCTTTTGGAATTCCCAGTTATAACCTTAAAGTCATAATGGAAATAGTCTGTGGTTATAGCTCCCAAAAGTGTTGGAGATATCCCATCTATCAGACAAAATTCAAATGCTGATGAAAAACTAGTTAGCAATCATGGAAAATCAATTGAGTGCTTACACTCAAAACATTTCAACTCCTACTGCCTTTCACTGTCTGCAGCCAGTTGTGGGGAGGCAATTACCTTTAAAAATTCTACTAATACCAAAAGTAGAAATAAAATAAAACCACTCTAAAATATTTCTACTAAAAGTTCCTCCCAACCTCTTCCCTGAAAAGTTCTAATAGTTCTTAAAGAAGAAAAAATAATAATAAATTCAACGTAATAATTCTACTATAAGTTACTCCCAACCTTTACCCTTTTCTAAAAAGATGCTATAATAATGTTTTAAATAAAATTTAAAATGATCTTAACATGAACTACATACCCTACCTCATACTCTCTATGTAGTTCATATTCCTCCATTTTTCTCTATTTAGTTATTTAAAGGATAGTTAACTACCTCTTGTGACAAAAAAAGTATTTTTTAAATCTTTTCCTATTTATTATAAAACCATGTGAAAAATTTTCTCAATTGCTGATGTTTATAACCATTATTTTCTAGTTTAGTTATGCATAATATAATAATATTATCCATAAAAGCATTGCTATTGTACAAATCTTTTTAGTTGTGATATAATGATACCTTTTAGCATCACACATGGAACAATATTAATGGGGGTGGGTAGACCAAGAATGGGAAAATTAAATGCTCTTCTCTTATCCCAAATAGTCATTTGGACTTTGCCATTTACTAAGTTAATATCCAAATCTGAATAATTGGTATGAACATGATTATTAATACTTTTTTCATAACAAGTTCTTTTGGATATATTAGGGTTGGTGTAAAGTTCTGGTTATTAATAGCAGTTATATTGTCTATGTAATGAAAAGTATATATATAACTTAGGATTTGAAACCTGTTTCATAAATGAGTTTTCATAAAAAAGCAACTACAAATTTGCCATATTTAAAGAGAAGTTTGCTCCCATTGGAATACCCACTGTTTGTTTATATACTTGTTCATTAAAAGTAATATAACTATTATAAACACAGAAATGGAGAATATTTTTACATTGGACTTTAGTAAATTTAAATTTTGGAATATCTATTTCTGTATTAATAAAATTATCGAACAGATCATTAAATACTTTGATTAAATCTTTCAGATTTATTTCAGTATATAAAGTCATAAGTGGAAACAGAACTGTCCATATCTGAAGTAGTTAACTTATTTATACATTCCAAAACTGGAATGTTGATCTTAATAATCCAAAAACAGTTATCTGTATTATTTAAACATTGTGTTTTAATTTTTTCAAACATAACATCCAGAATATTATTAAGAGCAAAAGATACAGATTTAGTAACTGTATTTAAAGAATTAGTTACAAATCTGAACTTGATAGGAATTTAATGCAGTTTTGGAATTGCATATAAAAATGGCAAGTGGGAAGAAGAATCTGTATGTATATTCCACTTGTTTATGGCTTTCTTTTTAATAGTAATAATATTATTTTTCTTTAGAGTACTTTTGCTAAATGTACTTTTATTGTTAATTTATTTAACACTTTCACAGCATACGTGATTTCTCTAATTATGCAATAGGAACATAAAGTCTTGTTGTGAGGTCTGTCTTAGTTGCTAATTTTATGGCTTTATGTTATGTTTTATGACAGAATTACTCCATTGACAGCTTTCTCTTGAGTGCACCATTGATGGTGCACACTATGATTTAAATATTAATAAACCAATAATCATGATATTTAGTTTTTTCTTTTCTTAGAGTAATTTTGACGTTTTATAGAAGAATTATGAATATTTCACAATTTAACAATTGTAAAAAAGGGACATCAGATAAAATAATCCCTACTGTGGATGATAATAGTTAAAGGATTGTGATGGGAAGCCTACAATGTGCTTGGAGTGTTTCAATGACAAACATAAATGAAACTTAGAATGAACTAAAATTTTCATTGTCTATCTTTTTTTTTCCAATCTTCCTAAAAGACTTTCTAAAAAAACAATGTCTAATTAGTTTTGCTCCCCTTAGTCACAATGAAGATTTTCTTTCA